GCGGACGGGCGAGGGGAGGCTCGGCCGGGGCCTGTGCAAGCTGTGGCTGGTGGTGGACTACCTGGTGTGCACCGCCTCTGTCTTCAACATCGTCCTCATCAGCTTCGACCGCTTCGTCTCCGTCACCAGGGCGGTAAGGCTGGCGCGGGGCTGGGGGAGAGGAGAGCCCAGCAGGGAGCTGGGGGCAGCCCCCAGCGGGAGAGCAGCGCAAGGGAGCTCCTAGGAGCAGCACAAGGTGCTGAGGGCACCTGGCTCCCAAACCCCACGAGTTGCAGGGGGTCTAGCTCCTTCCCTTTGATCCTAGAACTGTTTCCAGAAGCCCAAGGGTTTGGCAGAACTAAAACCACTTGCCCCTCACTTTCACCCTGGAAGGAGTTATCTTGTTTTAGAAAGAGGCACTTCATCCATGCAGCAAGCAGGGCAAAAGGACTTGTGTGTATTTCTGTCTCTACCAGCTGTAAATGGTGCAGGAGTGTCAGAACAGTCATTATCATCCTTCAAAGGAAGGAAATGTTATTTCTCCTCAAGAGCTGCAGGAAGAGCTAGAACCTTGGTCATGCAGTACATCAGCCAAAGGAAAAGTAGATGGGACTTCTCACCTCCAAAGCTAACTTCACTTCTCACCTAGCTCCTACAGCCTCTAAGTGCTTTAGATCACATTGAAATAACATGTTTTATCTGCTGATGAAAGTTCTACACAGCACTCTTGGTTATTCTTCACACCCCTGTTCTGCCTACGATTCTTGTAGGCATTTATTTTATTCAGTACAAGTCACCCTAAGGAGCAGTAATAAGTTTTATCAACCAGTACAAGAAAGAGGCTCTGAGATCACTTAAGCAGTTTCTTTGCAACAGCTGTTGTAAAAAATTCTTTTTCAAGAGGGAGAAATGACCAGATTAATTCTTAAACTTCATTTAATGCTTTTATTTTCTAGGTACTGTGTTAGCCACAAATTTTATCTTCACAATCCAAACTCTTATGACTATACACATAGTACAAATATATAGATTTGAAAATTTCAGAAACAGGGAAATTGGTTACTTACTAGGTAAAGTTCAGTCACTTTCAAACATTTCAAATGAATAAAACCTATTCCCAAACCAAGAGTACAGAGGCCACCTATTTTGTTCAGGCAGTATAAAAACAAAATTGTATGGAGTTCTAAATTATTCTCTACCTCAGTGAAAGCCTTTATTTTCCTACAGTCATAATCATGATCATGAATCATTTTTTATGATTCAGGGAGAAAAAAAAAGATTTCTCAGCTGCATGGGGAATTCTACCAGAATACTACAGGCTTTGTACATCACAATCTGGAGAATGAAATGAACTCTAAACACAGAATTGGGGGTTGAGACTCATGTTCCAACAGGTCATGTAAGCTCACACCTAAAACTGAACTAGCCCAGGTCCCTTTATCAAATGAAAGATAGTTGTTGCTTCAGAAACACAAGTCCACAGTGTTTGCTGCTATAGAGATAGAGAGACTGAATTCTGATTTGTTATACAAGTACTGTCTAATAGACCAGGGAATCAGAAGGTGTTTAGTTGTGATTCTACTCAATTTTATTACTTACATAGCTCATTGACTCACAGCTACTCACAAATACCTCTAACTTCTTTCATACTTTAAATTCTCTACTTTATAAACAAGAGGATTTAATTATTCTCCCTATATTTTGCAAACCACAACACTCCATCTATAAGTCTCAATTACAAATATGTGTTCAACAAATAATGAAACTGAGATAATAAGTTATCTATATTTTTTGTTTTTCCATGTCTTAAGTTCTGCATTGTAAGCTGTCTCTATACAAAGTGGGAAGATTTTGCATGGGTATTTTGTGAATTCAGATTCCATTTTAAAAGTTTAAGTCATGTATTTTAAATGAAAGTTGTGAATTTTGAGGGGCCATATTTTTTAAATATTCTGAAAACAGGTAACACTGCTAATGTAACAGAATATGTAAATGGTAACAACTGCTTATAGGAACTGCACTGGTATTTGCTTTGTTTTCTAGCCTTTAAGATCTAATGAAAGTTCTCAATTTCCAATGTCTGTTGGAATACACACTGCAGGAACACCTTTTCTTCAGTACTATTACAGCTTAGTATAACCCTACCCTCAAGCCACTATATTGTTGTCAACTGTCAAAAATAAGGGGGCCATATTCTAAGGTTCCCAAGGAGCTGTGCCTGTGACATACTACTAACATACATGACTTCTCCCTCTCAGGTGAATTACAGGGCACAGAAAGGGATGACAAGAAGTACAATATTGAAGATGGTCGCTGTATGGATTGCTGCTTTTCTTCTCTATGGTCCAGCCATCCTCAGCTGGGAGCACATTGCCCAAAAAAGCATCCTCCCCGAAGGAGAATGTCATGCAGAGTTTTTCTATAACTGGTATTTCTTAATGATTGCATCTACTATTGAATTCTTTGCACCTTTCATTACTGTTACATACTTCAACGTAAGTATCTACCTCAATATCAGGAAGCGCACGTCTTTCAGAAGTGAAAACCTACCCCCCCGTCAAGAGGACTGCAAAATGAATTTCCAGGGGAAAAAAAGAGAACATAGTATATTTTTTGTAAAACCTGCTAACACACACAAACATGAAAAAAGAGCAAACAGCCTTTCTTGCCCTAAACCACAGGCTTTGAAGTTTAGCCTGCATAAGCTTGATAATCACTCATTAAATACAAATGTCAATCAAGACTTTCCAGCACTTCAGGTGGATGTCAAGCCCAAACCACACAGAAACAGTTTATACAAAACCACAGAAAACATATGCAACACCACAAGCACAAGGGACATTGCTAACACTATGACAAGTAAATTTAGACTGTCCCGGGATAAAAGAGTGGCAAAGTCATTAGCGATTATTGTCTGTGCGTTTGGTGTGTGCTGGGCTCCATATACACTCCTGATGATCATCAGAGCAGCTTGCCATGGGCAGTGTGTGCACTATTCACTTTACGAGACTTCGTTTTGGCTTCTGTGGGTGAATTCTGCCATTAATCCTGTTCTGTATCCCCTGTGCCACATGAGCTTCAGAAAAGCTTTTATAAAGCTCCTGTGTCCAGGAAAAGCCAAAATTCATCCTCATGTTTTTATGTAAATATATATATATATATATATATGGAAAAATACACCATTTCAAGACAAAAAATGCATCTTGCTTTCAGTGGGAACATAAACTGGCTCAGTGCTCAACTGCAACTCACCAGCAAATACAATAAGATCAAAGTACTTCAAGGGAATAGTGGTAAGTGGATAGAGGTATAGATATATTTTTTAAGTATTCCTAAAATCTAACCATTCTTGTTGCTAGAGAAATCACAAGGAATTAAGTCTATTATTTGTCAAAGTTCTTTAGGCAATTCTGCCAACAGTTGAAGTTCAGCGCACCATCACCAGAAAGAGTGCCAAGAAGAGAATACAGCAATCATGACAAAGTTAATTTTACAAATCTACCAAATCTAACAGGTACAAATGTGGGTTTTTTGCCCACTTAGTAGATCTATCCATCCAGTAACAATATTACTCCAAGTGTTTTAAACTTTAAAATGAGACCCCACAAATAACATGGCCCCAAGTCTGTTAAAATACTCTTGCACCATAAATGACAAAAACAAAAGAAAAAACATCACACGCTACTTGGTTGCCTATCCCGTTTTCTACCCTTCTGCCTCCGCCACAAGAGATATTCACACAGCTAGACCTTGACTGCTGTCTAGATCCATCCCACACTAGAAGTGATCGTTTTAACACGAACAGCAAGAACTATGTCCTCAGCCTCGCAAGCATCTTCTGCTGTTTGAGACGCTTCTCCCTTTGCTGGCAAGAGGGGTGATTGCCACTGAACAGCCATAGTCGTCCATCACCACAGCCAAAATGCATGTTAATATAGTTGATCTTAGAATTTACATATATTGAAATTTACTATGTAAAATTTCAATAAAAGTGATTCAGAGCTGTGCAAGAGTCTTAACTGCATAGCCTTAACACACAGAGAATAGAAATACATCAGGTCAGTCATTTGACAAGCTACCTTTTTCCATGTGTCAAGATACTTTGTTTCTTTTAACAGTAGCTCCTGTGCTGAATGGAGCAAGTTAATGGATCTTTCCACACTTCCTGACTTCTCTGGACATCCTGAACCAAGCACTCCTAGCTTAAACTGACAGGTTTTAAACTGCTACCCACCTCTGAATTTTTTCAAGTTTTATTTCCTTTCCTGTGAGAAACTGCACGGATAAGATACAGACAGGCCATAGATCTACAGAGTAGAACAGCAGCCTAACTGGTTGTGTACACTCCAATTCGTCGAACTCAAATTAAGACAAGAGAGACATGTGAATTAAGTCTTCAGAAGTGGTGCTAGCTTCCAAGTTACCTCAGTCTTCACACAAGCTACCACTGACAATTATTCTACTACTCCCCTTTGTAGACCTTTGTTGCCATTTGTCTGTTTAATACACACCTAAAATCTGGTAGGATTCTCCATCACTGAGCACATCAGAAAAGCACCCTGACACATGAACATTCTTCCAAATACTGCTGAGAGGATGTATGTTAGTTTTGAATGATTATACCTACACATTACAACTATTGGCAGCCTTCCAGCTTGTGAGTTAACTATGCCTTGCTTCTGTCCCTTCAAGGCATAAGTTGCTTTTAATCACAAGGTGGCACTAGGTTCAACACTGGCCTTTGAAAAGACAAGAAACAAAGGATGTTAATAGCAATTTTATTGTTTCACTGGTGCAAAATCATGATACCGAATAAACTCGTGTAATGCATTTTCCCCTAAATTTACAGTAATGAAGGTTATACATATTCTATATAGATTGCGATTTCTCTATCTGGAACAAAATTATCTTGATAAATATGCCCTGTGCACAATACTGGCCCTCACTGAGTGTCACAGAGGCTTAATATGCAAAATATAACTTCTGTTTTTGAACATGGTAGTTTAAAATTCTCCAAACATGCATTAATATATTCTAGTTTTTAGGGAAAAATATTACACTTAGTCTTAACTTGCATTAAAAGAAAAGCACAAGCGGAATCTGACATACAATAATCCCAAAAATCTGATGCTCCGTAGAAGTCTGACAGTTTCACATGACAGTCACCGCCAGTTTAAAACTCTAGTGCTACAGAAGCAACAGTGAACAGACAGAAAAGAAATCAGAACTGGAAGAGCCCTATCATGTCACATGAATTCAAAGAAAATTTCAGTCATGCTAGCTGATGAAACCTGTAGTTGCTGGTCCAACCTTTTACATTTGTTAGAGTACTCAACACAAGTGTTTGAAGTGCCAGACTGAACACATGAACGTTAATTTAACTTGATATTTCTGAAAGGCACAATCTATCAATCTATCTTAAAAAAAACATATGGTATGTAAACGAAAAGAAACAAGTACAGTGTGTATCTTCTTTAAAGGACAAGACCTTCATAAATTGGCCCCTCAGATTCTGGTGATTCCCTCCTCAGACGCAAGTGCTCCAGTGTGTTGTGAAAATGTTTGTTAATTTGTTCTGTTTCTTCAGTAGACTCAAGGTTTGGAAGATCTTCTCTAATCTTCTGTATGAGCTGATTCAAAACCTGAATTGTCACCTACAGAAGATACACATACAGAGCCAAAGTTGTCAACAAGACCACTGCACAAGTGCACAGGCATTTGTTAAGAGACTTGTCTCTAACAACTGCTACTAGTTCTCAGCAGAATGACTGGCCAGACTGTGCAGACAAACTGTTGGACTCTTCTTTTTCTGGTCCTCACAGGAGGCAGAAGATCCACTCCAGAAATTTTTGAAAGCAAACACTTAATTTTGGGGAGTATGAGGGTTAAGCTACTTACTACCCTAACAGCTTTGCAACTAAACCATTTCTCATCAACAATATTTAAAAAACTTGGAACAAATAAGGTACTTTTCCCCCCTGTGTAATATAAGACATTTCTTTTACACAGTCAAGATCTCAACATCAGATTGACAGTACAAGTTTTCCTAAGGAATGACTGGATCCCCAAGATTGGCACAGCTGTCTATACTGCCAAGAGGAGAATTACATAAAATACCCTATTAAAGCATGCTGTAGACCACCACTGTATCCAGAATTTATTCTTACAAATCTGCCAAGTGTTTTGTAACTCAAAATTTGATTTTAATTGCTATCAGATAGCATCTCCTACACTACAGGAACTGAATTGGCTTCCTGCTACAGTAGAGCTCTGAAGTCATTAGCAAATCCCTAGAGTCTCTTTAGAGATTCTCACCACAGGGTGTTCATTAACATCTGCTCCTGATCAAGCAAAGATGTGCAGCTGTACTTGATCATGCAGTTTTTTTGTTTAACTGAGTAAGTTTGCTGCTTGTCACTTTATACATTTTAGTTGAGAATTTCAGATGCAAACCTTGAACTAGTACATGGGAAGTCCTGCTAGTTTTTGGAAAGTAAAGCTGTCCATATTGCCAGAATTTGTGCCTCTCAACGAGGGACAGCAGAAAAAGTTGAATAGACATAATAAGGGTATAAATGTGAATGAAGAGCTTCAAGAAATGTTTTCTTAGTTAAGGAAAGTTAATTTTTTTCCACTCACCGCCTCGTTTTCTTTTTCATAGAAATAGATGTATCTATTCAGAATTTCTATGAAAAGTTGAACTTGCAGAGAAGGGTCCATGCATTGATTTGCTATCTTTAAAGCCTTTTTCAGGCACTCCATCACTCGTTTTCCCCCATGAAGCTAGAAGGAAGAAAGACCAGGTTACAAGAAATTTAAGACACCTTTGGGTCCAGTATCACTTCCCTTGGTACATATATGCATTTCCTGGTGATCTGCCCCAGAAACAGACTGCACAAAGACACATGCTGTATAGAAGACTATCATTAAAAGCTTACCGTTCCTGGCTCTTACCTGTTTGGCTAAGTTTTATGCTCAAATCAGACAGGAACATAATCAGAGTTGTTGAAAGCCTTTAAGTTCCATTTTTTAATAACAGATACACAAGTGCACTGACAAGCAGAGTTCACTGCTCTTTATAGATACAGGTCATTTGTTTGAGAAGCCCTGCAGAGCTACAATTTGTTTTTGATTTCAACTTCTACCTTGAATTTGAAGTGCAACACAGCTAGCTTGCAGACATGTGCAAGATGCAGTTAAACGAGCAGACTGGATTTGAGAACCAGTGGCCCGTTGCAGAAGCTTGCATCCACTTCTGTATTTACACAGCACCTACAGCAGTGAGATCTGGAAGCTTCATACTAAGGCACATTCCAGCCAAGCCTATGCTACAGTCATCAGCACTTCAGGAGGGAGGCCCTGCTGTGTTTGAGGTAGGATGCCTTACGCTGTTGCAGCTTTAATCTTCTTACCTCTTCTCCATTCTTGTCAGTGTTTCGGCCAGACCAAAACAGATGGGCACAAGTGCTCACAGCCCGGCACTGGTCTGGCTTCTTAAGCAGCTTAGAGGCTGCCAGTGCACACTGAGTCCTCAGAGGTTCATGGTTCTCCTCACTGAAGCACTTCATCCTTTCAAATGTCCCGATTATCAAGGTGATTGCAGCCAGCTGTGCTTTTGAATCACTGATTTCATCCTCGTACAGAGAGAAGGCCTGCTCAAGGGAGGAGGCAAGAGTCTTAATCACTACTTTAAAGCAACATTAGAGAAAGAGCACAGTTGCTAGTGACAAAGTGCTTGCAGTTTTATATTCATTACATAATTCAGGTAGAAGAGATATTTCATAAATTGTCAGAATCAGGTTAGAGACACAGACTGAAAAAAGTTTGCAAGAGGCATGTTTGGCTATAACCACTTGAGGAAAAACTAATCCTTACATGTTATCTGAAGAATGAAATTTTCCTCATTCAGCATCTACTTTAAATAAGTGACTTTAAGTAGCCAAAATAGTTCTTGAAATGCATTTGGGTCTTCAAGAGACAAAAACTGTACAGCAGAAGCTGTGTTTGGTCAGTGACCAGAGTGTTTGCACTGCTGCTGTATGGATGAAGAGCCCTGAAAGAACCCATGTGACAATCCTGGACTGGGCATCTAACACAAGGTACGTAATTGTCAGGCTACTTTTGCCTCCAGAGTAGTACCACAATG